GGGCTGTGGAGTCACCATGGCTTAAAATGTTGTTGGCTCTGCTGGGGTTCAGCCCAATGAACTATATCATAAATTATAAATTGTTTGGCTTTGCATTATCACCATGTATGGTTTGCACTAAGTAGGTACAAAAGTACTGCCTCCAAAAAAGCATGTTTATTGAATACCTGTGCTGAAAAACTTGCAGCAGTTTCCAAAAAAAGGAAGAAAGTAAAATGCATCAATTCTGGATTAACTAAGTCTATAGTTACCCATAGTAATTTTTCTATATACACAAATTAATACAGGTACTTTTATTTCAAGTCAGTGTTTTCTGGTTCCTTGTTTCAGATTTGCCCCTTACTTCCACAGGCTCAGACAGAGCAAAGTCTGAGCTGGGTCTGACAGTAAGGAGAGCAGGGGGAGGGACTGGTGGGGAGGAGCTGCAGGGCAAAGAAGTTGGGAGGGCAGAAGGCAAGGGGACCTCCTGACCTTCCCCAGCCACAATTTTCCTTGCTGTAGCAGGGGGAGGGGGCAAGTTCAAGACAAACTTCCAATAATTAGATTCTATACCTGAAAAATTATAACAAATGTATACATTTTCCATATATAGAATCTAATTACTGGACAGTAGTCTTAAATTCAGGATCACCTTACATTTGAGTAAATACAATAACAACTTCATCACCTTTGAATTTTGATATTTTGCCACTATTTCCTTTTCCAGATTAGGGAGGGTAGGGGTCAAGCAGCTTGATACTGCCCCATGTCCCCCTACACCTTTCCACCCATGCTGCCTCTACCCCCCTGCCCCTCTTTCCCACCACCATTGTTCACCCTTCGCTCCAGTGCCACAGGCTCCATCCCTGCCCCAACCTGGGACACAGAGCACATGCTTGCTCTGGCCACAGCCCAGCCAGGTGGCAGCAGTAATTCTGGCTGGGTCCTGGAGTTGGAGCTGTTGTGTTGTCACCACTTGTACAAGGTTGGAGCAAGCACATGGTCTGAACCCCAGGCTGGAGCAGGAACAGGGTCTGTGGCACTGGTGCAAAGGTAAGTAGCAGAGCCTGCAGGTTGTGGGGCAAAACATGGGGGAAGAGAGGCAGGGGGCCGAAGGCAGGCAACAGATGCCTGTCTCCCCTGCCGTCTCTTGATTCTAAGTCAAGGGGCTTAATCTCCTATACTAAGTGAGGAAAAACACCTTATCTTGAACTTGAGCAAACATGGTATATTCCAGGTTTGTTTCCCATCTCGTAGCCAGTTTTAACCCAAAAACACTTTGCCTGTCACTCCACGGCTCTTTAAAGATGTGCAGTGCCCACTCCAGTTTTCCTAAGTATACATTTAGAATGGAAGAGCTGGCATTACCTCTTCATCAGAGCAGGTCCTCATAACTTCCCAAAGGCTCCTATTCACATCCACCAGAAGTTTATCTTGGTCAGATGCACGTAATTTCAGCCTAAAACATGAAAGAAAAAAAAACAATAACCTGAGAAGGGACTTTTGCAATCACACAGTGTATACAAACAAGCATTGTAGAAGCTATTTTATGCAAGCTACACTCTTACTTTAAGCACATACAGAGATACAAACACTTTCTCATCAGAAGTCTGAGTGAGCAACCCTTCAAACCCTGAATCTGATAAGGCTTAGATTTATTCAACCATAAAATGTGATGTAAAAATACATTATTTTTACAGCTTTTTTTTTTTTTTTTTT